TTGGCCACCCCAGACAGCCTATAACTGCTAAATGACCACTTTGAAGGAGGCAATCCTTCAAATCTGCTGCCATCATTATCCTAATTGGCTCAGGAACTATGAGGGCCAGTGCCTGGGGGTAACCCTGCAGGTCTTCAGTGTCTTGAACTCAAATGGCCTGGGCTGGGCAAGATGGCAGGGATGCCACCCTTGGGCCCACTTGGGTCATGAGAATGGCATCCAAATGCTTTAGGAAAATGGTGTGGCCCGGGGACACCATGCATTGTGAAACCAGCAGCCGCGGCAGCCAGATCAAACTCTGTCATTTAAGCACATTATTGTCACTGAGCAAATTCAAATACACACATCCTTTGCCCATCACTCACCATGGCATGAGTCTGAATCTTAGTAGCCACCGGTGAAAGCTGCACCAAAGGGAAAGCCCTGGGGCTCGAGTGGGCCAGGTAAGAAGGTGACCACACCTGTGCCTCCCCATACCCTCTAGTTTACTGACCTACATCATGAATCACTGGTCTCACAAATATTTACCAAAATGTACACACACAGTCCTTGAGGTTCCCGATCAAGCAAAGATGTTTTTCTGAGAGTCTGAGGATCTGATAACATCTTTCTCTTGTCCTTCTTTAGGAATGGCTGCCCGACAGGATTCAGTAGACTCAGGTGTCACCCTTTTCTACAAGGCTTCAGAATAAGATAGTACCTTTTCTTCCCAGAGAAGTCTGATAGATTGGAGAAATCTGAAAGCATCTGATTTTACACCACTTAAAAGTAATCTATCTGGTCTGCTCTCCCTGGAGAATTTTTTTTTCTCTCTTCCCATTTAGACATGTTACAATAATATGCCTTGTTAATAGTTTCTGATTAATGTTACTCAGAACAAGATGAAACCTTTCATTTCTAATCTCATTTATTTTCTCAGTCCTGAAAAGCTGCCCCGTCCCTTCCCTGTATCAATTGTTTTGGTCACAGGCAAGCTGCCTTTCACCTAAGCAACAGCCCTAGAGTCAACCCTGCTGGTGTTTTTCCCTGAACCACAGTAAGACTTTACATTTTTATCCTTTACATCTTTACTTACTGAGGATGGAATTAAAAAGTAACAAAAAATTTCAAAGAAGAGTTAGAAAGACTGCAGATGGACCTATTTCTTGGTGAAAAAAAAATCACAAAGAAAGATAGTGTTTCATATTAAAATTTTCCTACTTAACTAAAGCATAAAATTCTGGGTCATTTCTTTTTTTAAAAAAAGATCTTATTTATTCATTTGAGAGAAACCAGTGAGCAAAGCAAGAGAGAGAACATGAATGGGGGGCCGGGCAGAGGGAGAGGGAGAAGCAGACTTCCTGCTGAGCAGGGAGCCTGACACACAGGGCTCAATCCCAGAACCCTGGGATCATGACCTGAGCCTAAAGCAGACGCTTGACTAACTGAGCCACCCAGGCACCCCTATTTTGCATCATTTCTTATAGGTTAGTTTGCATAATTGTATATGTGTATGCTATATGAAAATTATATGTGGATGGGTCCATTTGTGTATATTGAACAAAGCTCTGATTTTTTTTTCAAGCAACGGGGACGGCTTTCTTAAACAATGTATTTATTATTCATCTAATGTGTGTTCTGAGTGGCATAAAACAGCACGAAATGAAAGAGAACGAATATAGTTTGTAAAACACAGATTATTTCATGTAAAGAGAGCCCTGTCATCAGAAATCCCACAGTCTCCCAGTCCAAACACCTGCCCGTGAATTTCATGGGGAAGTGAGTGCTGATACCCAAGGGGGCCCAGGCTGTGTGGGCTGGGGGACAGGGATAGTGGTTGCTGTGAGCAACACCCAGAGGAAGGCCCTGAAAGACATGGATCCTCGCCTGAGCTGCTTTCTGAGGGGAGGTATGTATTTGCCAGGAAGCAGGCTAAGGTTGGGGTGTTGACCAGTGGCTCTCTAACTTGGGTGTGTAACAGAATCACCTGGGAGGCTTGTTAAAATACAGGTTGCTGAACCGCTGCCCAGAGCGTCTGATACAGTAGGTGGGACACGGGGCCCAGGAATCTGCATTTGTAACAAGTTCTCAGATGAGGTCGATGTAGCTGGTCAGGGACCACCCCATGAGAACCACAGAACACTGTGTAGACAGCAGCTACGTGGACCCTGAGCGCCGGCCGTGGTCTTGACGGCACCAACAGCACTCAACTCCTGCTTTGAAGAACTGGCGGAAAACCAAGGCTTCTATAGAGTCGGCCCACAACTCGCAGGATGACATGATCCACGGGCAATAAGGCATAAACATTCCCACATCTCCAGCGTGGATGCTGGATATGCCTGGGTACACAGTAAGAGGCAGGTGATCACACAGGAGGGTGGCATCCATGCTCCGATCCATCTGAAGCTCTCATAAAGACGTGCAGAGAACAGCCAGGAGCTGAACTGAAGTGAAGCCAAGGCTGGGAGCGGGCTCCATGAACCGCTCGCTCCAGCCTGTTCATAAGGAGCATGCGGAGTAGAACTCACTGGCCCCTGAGCTGGTTGGTGGTACACAGATTTGGTAAACTGGGCTCTGCTTCAGGGTGGAAACCGGTGAGCCCCCTGGCCCCCTTCATGGAGGGGGCCAGCCACACAGGACCATCACCACCATCACCACCGAGCCTGGCAGAGCCCCACACACAGACCTTTGCAAGGTCCAAGTCACTGCAAAGCAAATGCTTTTGCAAGTGTGGGTAGACAAACATCTTAGCGAGCCTTAGCACTGAATTCTGCTGTCACAGCCTCGGTTTTCCCCAGAACACAGTGGGCAATGGCAATCGAATCTGGGAGTCCCTCCTGTCCCCATAACCTCCCCCCACACCTGTGCCCCTGGCTCCATTGGGGCAGCGCTCCACCCATCATCTGGTTCTCCCCTCTGTGGGTGATGTCTTACTCTTCATGGGCTTCCTTCTAACAGCATAGAGAGACCTCCAAATCTCTCTGCTCGTAAAAAAAAAAAAATCTTAACTCTCTCAATGCCGGGTTTCTGTCAGCTCATTTCTTTCACGGACAGGTACCTGCAACAAGTTATCACAGATTGCTAACAAACACTCACTCAGGCATGGATCTAATGGATACCTATGGAGCCATGTGCAGAGCATGGTTCTACACGCTTGGGACACAAAGGGGAGCACATCAAAGATCTGGACCCCGTAAAGCTTGCAATCTAGTGAGGGCAAGGTCGAGAAAAACAATACTCATAATAAATAAGTAAATTCTATGGCATGCTAGAGGTCAGCAAGAACTTAAAAAAAAAAAAAAAAAAGAACAGCACAAGGAGAGAGGAGAAGGTGAGAGCAAGGTGGAGGTCTAAGTTACAGGCCAAGTTCAACATGCTGCGTCCAGATCTCTTCCTTCTGTTACATTCCAAACAGATGAATGACAAGTATAATCACTATAATAACATATGCATGGGCTTTTTAATTGTGGGGCTTTATAGAGAAATCCTATGCAAATTCCATCAAGGAAAGAACCCAGCCTGACATTGAGAGCAAAAGGAAGAGCCCGTAGTCTTCGAAAGGGAGTGATCCGAGGAGGTGGGGAAGGTCCTTGCCATCCCCTTTCACTCATGCAGCCCAGACGGCCATCACATCATGAGAGCACGATGCCTTTCATTTCCACAAAGGGGGACAAAGGGTTGATGAGGGGCTGATGGAAGGTATAGAGCAGTGAGGGATACGTGAGTGAGACAGGCTGCAAAGAGCAGGCTTTGACTAGGGTAAGAGATCCGTACTGGGTGTTGCCTGGTAGAACAAAAATGAGAATGTGGTAGAGAGAGGCAAAAGAAATTCAGTGAATTTTAAACCTTACAATTGTGTCCTGAGTGGTTTCCAACAAGCCTGCTTCCCAGAGGCTAAGGTATGCAAAGGTTCAGGACAAAGGGCAGTGGACACAGAGGCCCCAACTGGGGGTCTCCCCAGCACCCGCTCTTTGTGGTATGGATGAAGACATAACAGTTAAGTGGTTACTGTGTCTCAAGGATCCCCCCCACCCCACTCCAACTCCTGGCTGGGGTTCATTTATCTTAACTCAACAACAAAGAGGTTGGAACGCATCAATGTGGCCAACTTGCATTTTTTCTACACTGGAATTCATTTTTTCAAACAAAATCGCAAGCAGAACACAGCACAACTGACCCTTGGACAACACAGGGGCTTAGGGCACTGACCACCTGTGTGCGTGCAGTCAAAAGTCCATGTGTAATTCTTGACCTTCCAGAAACTTAACTACTCCTAGCCCACTGTTGCTGACCTGAAGCCTCACCGCTACCATAAACAGCCGATGAACGCATACTTGGTATGTTATGTGTATTATGTACTATGTTCTTACAATAAAGTAAGCTAGAGAAAAAATCTGATTAAGAAGATCATAAGGCAGAGAAAATACATTTACAATATTTTACCATATTTATCGAAAAAGACTGCATATGAGTGAACCCGTGCAGTTCAAACCCGCGTTAAGGGTCAACCACGTACAAGCTATCTAGCAGTGAGGATGATGTGGGCTGGGGGCCCAGCAAGAGGACCATTCTGCATCTTTGTCATTCCCCTTCCCCATCCTCCTCCTTAGAAGCATTTCTAAGGAAAGGAAAGGTCCCAGAGAACACGGTCCTCCTCTCTTCTAGCCTCTTAACGATTCTCTGGTGTACACAAATCGTCAAAATGCATCCAGTGTAAATACTACAGAGATAACCTAATTTTAAGAACTAGTTAAAGAAAGAAGAAAAACTGGATGGAAGTGAGAACCAAATTCTCTGGCTCATGTCCAGAGTGGGTCACCAAAGCATGAAATATTGGTCAACCTTTGGAGAAGGGAAAGCCCAGGGTCCCCCTGCTTAAAGAGGGTGACAACCCACTAGCACATTCTCAAGAGCAGGATGGGTGAATTGCTCCTTCCACTCACCAGTGAAAAAAGCTTTAAATACACATTAAGGATGACCAGGCAGCTCTGCTCACAAACATGAATGAACCATGCACAAACCTTGATTCCAAGTTCGATATTTTCTCCCCCATACACGTCCATCCCAGGGTCAAGAAGACCGATTTCACCGAAGAACTTCCTGTTGACCACGAAGGAGCAGCCAATCATGGCTGGCGTCCTGCAGGAGCGAGAAAGAAGTCAGAGTCAGCTGACATATATATGATTCAGCCACGAGAAAGAAGGAAATCCTGCCATTTGCAACACCTGTGGACCTTGCAGGCATTAGGCTGAGAGAAGTCAGAGAAAGACAAATACTGTATGTTCTCACTTATATGTGGCATCTAAAAAAGCTGAACTCATAGAAACGGAGTAGAATGGTATTTACTGGGGGTTAGGGGCTGGGGGAATCAGGGAGATGCCATTGGTCAAAGGGTCTACATGTGCAGTTTGAAGATGAATATGTTCTGGAGATCGCATGCACAGCATTGTGCTTCAGACAAATTAGGGTACCCAGAGCATCCAGCGGTGACCCGGCTTCTGGGTAGCTTACACAGGATGGTCTCACATGACCCATGGGGTCTGCAAGCATGGGGATGGTTCTCACGGCACATCTGGTAACAGCTGTGTGACAGGGAGCATCCCAGGGCAGTCACAGAGAAGCTCAGAGGTAAGGACCAAGAAGGGAGAAGACTCATCCAAGAGACCACTGGTGCCCAGGGAGAGACCGCCTCAGCCTGCCGGGAAGAGTGCCCAGGAGGAAAGATGAAAAGTATCGGCAGGGTGGCCTGTGATCATAAAGTCCAGAAACAAAGATTTGTACTTTGTTTTTGAATATATTAATCCCCTTATTTCTTCTAGCACGGGCCACAGGCTAATGAGGGATAGCATGCCAAGTCAGAGCTGAGGCCCATGGAGATCTGTTGCCCTGAGTCACAGGGTGGGTGGGGCTCAGGACCCACCCAACCTCAAAGTCCACTCTACTCTCCAGAAAATGCTCCGAGGAGGAGTGGGCAAATGCCCGGGCTGCCAAAGGCCAGAAATGCTGTTAAGATGCTTTCTGGAGGAAAAGAGACAGGAAGGCCAGTCAAACTCCCCTGGGGCCACCAGGAAGCTGTTCATTAGGTGGAATTCTCTTGAGCTGAACTGTAAACTTCCACGTCAGATCCTCATTTGCTCCTGATTTTGAGCCTGACTTTCACCTTAATGTCCAGATTTCTGACCCCATGGAACACCTCTTGGAACCCATGTGGTAGGGCAGTGGAGGGGCACACCAGAAGAATAGAAGAATCAGTGCTCAGTGCTGACTGGAGTAGTTTGAACGCTGGTGTTGCCACTGAGACCCACACTTGTGTGAGGTTAATGGAATGCTCTGGATCCCAGTTAAGTCCCTATGGAGTATCGCTGTGCAAAGAGATGCAACGTTCACAGAGGAGGGGTTCAGTGAAGACTGTTCCTCTGCCCTCTCATTGGGAAGCCCACCCATAATGTTTTCTCCAGAAATCCCATACCAATCACAGCCCTGTACATGGGGTGTGGCCTTCCACAGGTGCCACCCGGGCCACACCAGGGAGAGGAGGTGCTTCACTTGTTGATCCTCTCCTCCCAGCCCTGCGCCCCTCAGAGACAGGCAGCTGACCCCAAGCATGGAAAAGTACCGTGTGAGCCCAACCCCTGGCATGAGTTAACTGAACCAGGAATGAGCACCAAACCCAAACTGGGTCAATCAAATCATGTTTTTCCTGAGGAAAAACTTGGGAGTCGGGAGGGTTCTGGAAGTGAGAACCACATGGTCTCTTTCATCTGTAGGACTCAGGGCACCATTTTGGGACAGCTGCATTGGCCTCTGTGTGCACGTGCATGATTGTGCAGAGGAAGGAAGCAGATGCATGGTGGAGGTGTGAGGCCATGGTGAGGGACAGCCTGGTGACTTTGGCCTCCCATCAGCTGACAGGCCCGGCTCTGGCCTCTGTCCCCTGGGGTCATGCGAGAGCCCCCCCTGAGTCTCTGTGTTCTATCTCCTTGACTCAAACCGTGTGGAATAGGTTTCTGTTCTTCCTTTTCTCGGAGATTGGCTCGGGGACCCACCTGCACCAACATCACCAGGATGGTTTTTAAAAAATGCAGACTCGTGAGTGCGGCCCAGAATCATGGAACCAGGTTCCCAGAGATGGGACTCAGGGACTTGGGTCTGTAGCAGCAGACTGATCCTGTGGAGCCATCTGCCCCTTGATCGGTCAGGTACCCAGGGGCAGAGAAGTTAGCCCCCTGGTTTCTTATTCCCAGGAGTAGAGGGGGTACCAGCTGGCTACTGGTGAACAAATGAGTGACTATAACACAGCTGGGTGGCCGCCCCTGGTGGGGAAGGGCTCCATGATGTCTCAGGGGCATAATGGCTGAACTGGCCCGGACCCCAAGGACAGCAGGGAGGCATGCTGTAGCTCAGGCTGACCAGGAGGGGCGTGAAATGAAGGAGAAGATGTGGAGCAGAGATGGAGGGAGGAGGAGGAAGTGGGGGAAGGGTGAAGAGGAGGGAGGGTGGGCTTCGAAGCACAAAGCTTTCACTGTCGAAGAGGGTAGACAGCCTGCTTGTTCCTTCCGGATCCCTCTCGGATTGCCCTTTGGGAAACATCCTTCCCTGTCAAGCAGCGTGATATTTTAGTATAACTGGCTTCATCCGCGTGATATTTTTCACCTGCAGGTGGCGCGAAGCAAAGAATTCACAAGAGCTGCCCTGGGTCCCCTCTCTGCTGGTCACAGCTCTGTTCTGCAGATTCAACTCAGTTCCCTACCAGGAGCCCTAGGATTCCTCATGACAGAAAGGAGAGGTCCCCGAGGGCCTCCTGGTTGGAACCAGGCCACAGCAGCTGAAAGCAGGCCCCGGTGTGCCTCCTGGGCCAGCCGTCAGAAGCTGAAGGTGAAGGGCAGGGGTGGGGGTGCTGGCCCTAATGAAATGCAGACCTAGGACAAACCATTGACCATCATGGCTGGTGGTGGCCTGCCAAAAGGTCCCCTAAAGGCCACGGGGAAAACCTGCCATGGTGTCAAGAAGAGGGAACGCACCATTCCATGTCTCGGGAGATGGCTCCTGACAGGGACAGTGGGAAAGAGGCTGGCACTGGCCTGGACATCAGCCCCCAGGAGGTGGCCTCCCTGCTGAGCCAAGGCCCCCGTGCTGCAAGAGCAAGGCTCCGCGGCGCAAGGCTCCTGGCAGGTGGCTCGCATAGAGCTGGGAAACATGGAGACTGAAGAATTAAGACACGTGTCCCCACCCCCGGCTAGGCCAGCCAGCATTTCTGGTGAGGTCAGTGGGACAACTGCTTGGCATTCTGGAACTATCCGACATTACTGATGGTGAGTAGCTGCCTCTCTGCACAGGGAGGAGCAGGTCTCCACCACCACACCATCTCCAGGCCCTGCCTGGGTGCTGCTGCACGGGGGCAGGGTTGGCCAGACCCATCCTTAGCCAAGCTTTGCCTCCACTTCCCCTCTGGTCTCCCCGCCACCTGCCCAGCCAACGGCGCCTTGGGGCTGACGAGATCCTGGAACGTGAGCCTACAGCCTCGTTCCTCAAACTCAACTGTGGTTACCATTAGTGCAAACATTTCAATTCAAAATCATTCAAAAACGATAATCATATTAAGGGATCTGCCAAAGCCTAATAGTTCTGTTGCAGAGGAGAACAGAAATAAAAAATAATCACTTTTATTGTTGCTGTTGTGCAGAATATATGCAACATGCACAACAGTTCCAGTGGGACGGAGATGGGGAGAATTTCCACCACATGCAGAAACCTTCTCCGTGTCCACGCTTCCTCTCCTTGTAAGTGCCAAAGGGCCCATCTGGGGTCCAGGTGTTCCCCCCACCCCAAAACCCTTCATTGGCTGCCTATTCTCTCCTCAGTTAAGGACAGGCTCTTCTTCCGCTTCCCTGTCCTACTCAGTACCCGCCCAGCCGTTTGCCCCACAGATGCCATGGCCTGGCTACTCTGGGCTATTCATCATTCAGAAAGCCTGTCCCAATTTATGCCTGTCCCCCTTCTTCCGAAACGTCTTCCCCGAGACCACCTCCATCTGTGCAAATCCTACCCACCCTTCAAAACACATTTCTATCTGAAAAAAAAAAAAATTTTTTATGGTACAAAAAACTAATACCTACCTTATAGAAAATATACCTCGACAAAAATAAGAACACAAATTTCATTGCTTTGTGACCGAGAGCGCTCAAGTCCCATTACCATCCCCCCTCTTTCCAGCTCACCTCCTTGAGCCCGGCGGGCCCTCAGTCTTTCTCCCCGCTGGGACCTCCGATCCACAGGCCCTGCGGACCCCTTTCCTACCCAGCCTAAAGCCCCAATGGTGCCCTGGTACCCCCCTACCCCCCCACTTTGTTCTCAGTTGGCAAAACCCTCACGCTGATGAAGGCAACTTGCCACACCTGTAATGCACAGCTCAAGGCGGTTAGAGACACACGTAACCACGTGGGCTGGTCTTGTTTTAAATTTAGGGCTGTGAGCCTCCAGTGGGTCTCAGTGCTGCCCTTCCTTCATGCTACAGGGCCCTCCTCCCTCACCGTCCTAGAAGCCTCTGCCCCACCTTCTCTTCCCTCCTCAAGCCTCTAACACCTCCTTCTCCCTCACTCTCAACTGACAACCTTGCTTCCTGCTTCCCTGGAAAGGCGGTGAACAAAAGGCGAATGTCCCCGCATCCCACATCTACTTGCTTCGTGCTCTCACCCACTTTCCTTCCTTTTGCTATAACTGAACTCTTGGCTCAGCTGAACTCATGCTCTTAGCCGAGGCCAACCCCTCCACCTGTCCTCTGTTGTTACTCAAGACCTCACTCCAGCAATTGCCCCTCCCCTGTATCAAATGTCTTCTCTCTGTCTCTGTATTCTTGAGGCTTTGGCGTCTCGGGCCTTGCTGCCTGGGGAGAGACTGCCCTTCCCACGGCTGGCCAATTCTTAGAGACAGCAGAAGACCTGCTAGGGAGCACTGTCTTTCCTATGCAAACTAACCATCCCAGAGCCCACACTTAGCCCTTCTCTGGGTCCTATGCTCCAGGAGGCAATATCTCTCTGCTCTGATCATCCCAGAACCAGGAGCCAGATGACTGGGGACAGCCCTTATTCCCCAGAGCTCACCAAAATTACTCCAACTAGCCAATCCTAAGCCTTACCCTG